GGAACTTCACCAGGTGAATCAGATCCCTCACATCCATTGTTGTCACCGAGGTACTGTCACTAGGACAACCATCCACAAGATTCCTGTCAGATACAAAAGATGCCTGAGACAAATCTATAATATCGTCTTCTGAATCTATGTCTATCATTTGTTTTTGGTTTAATTTCTTAGCCTGAGCTCGAGTCTCAGCACACGAGGAAAATACATCGGTATTCTCCTCAACGACAGCATCATCCTTAGATGAAACAGTGATCGGCTCACTAACCATTTTAGGTTCGGCAACAACTTTTCCCTCAGCCAAATCGTTTAGATGTACACACGTTTCGTTGTATATCAGATGATGATCATGCTTACAGTTTGATAAAGTGCTGAATTACTTATTATACAAAAATACAAAAGCATCACCTTTCTAAACAACAATATACATAAATTGAAAAGTGAGAAAAACGCTTTTGGAAGTTAATTTTACATAAACATTAGTAGTTTCAAATTGTATGGAATATAAAAATGTTTGTACAGCGTCCAGTGTAAGGAGCGCAGCTTTATAAACTTTGAAACGTATATAACGTACATCGATTAATTGTTTTATAATTTGTTACATTAAATGTTAAAAGAAAGGGGTATATACATATTGTAATATAATTTATTAGTCTAGTTTTCTAAATATGTAGTATTCAAAATAATACTGTTATGCTCTATTGATAAACAATCAATTATAGGACTTAATAGTTTTGTTGTTCTTTAATATTAATAGTTTTCTTGTTCTTCAGTATTAATACTTTTATTGTACTTTCTACTTTACTACAGACTTGTGTAGGCTTACACTGAAATTTATCACTTTATTGTTAATACCAGCACAATATTGTCAGTTATTGCTCTCTTTATTTTTACAAAGGCGATTCTAAAAACAAATGTTTTTGCAATATATTTAGTCATTTCTTTTTCGTCGTTACAAAAAATTTGAAAAGTACTATATATATATATATATAAGAATTGAAACGTACCTTATCAAGTGACAAAAATACCTTAAAAATTTAGACCAATACGACTGAAAGAGTGAAATTGTTACACACAACCATGACTTGGATAACCTTGGTATTAACCCTATCGCTACAGGTTTTTCTATGGTCAGGGGTCAAAAAGCATGTTATCACGTTTGTACACTTACTTTCAAAATTTTATCAACCTACTATTTTGTGAATGTATGTCAATAAGTTCGGTTTTAAATTATAGATTATAATTAAAATTTTAGTATTATACATTAGTTAATTTCTTAATTTAAAAGTAAATATTAAAAAGGAAATCTTAAATATCGATTTTTGTGTGCAGCTTGGGTTTAAAATAGATGTTTGTGATGTCCAAATACAAAGTCTATAGTTTCTTATGAACTAGAAACTAAATCACCGATATTGACAAGCTAGAATATTAAATAAAAACCTTCTGTCTTTTCTATTTGCTGAGATATCACTATATAATAGCGAATCAAACACAGTGACTCTGCCCACAAGATAAAATTGTTTTATATATTTCTATATCTACTGTTATATGTTTTAAGAAAAGTAACCGTTTCCCTCACAGCAAATGTTTACCTTGAATTTTTAGATTCTGTGATCCCAGCCTTGAAAAGGTGCCTTTCATGTTAAATTTACTGTCAAATTCAAGTTAAATACTTTCCATTCTAGTTTAACATTTGTAAAATTTAATCTTAAAATGCTATTTTCAAAAGTTACTTGATTTTATATGTCAACCCGGATGCTGCACAAGAATTAGACAATTTAGTCAGATATTATTTTATTCACCTCAGTTAGAAATAATTAATAAATAAATACTTTAATTAAGTTCCAAGCAGCTCTTAATATTTTTCATTCTCCAGTTGGATCAAACAGTTTCTGAGCGCCCCTAGTTGTCTCTCAAGCCATTCGGGGCTTGTCGGATATTAAACTAAAATACCTACCAAGATAGTTAGTCAGTTGACCCCGCCCACCTCCTCCATTGTTGGAAATGCTTCGCACTATCATGTGTTTAATAAAAAGCCCAGAATTTCCTCACGTGGTTTTCCCAGCCTCTTGAGGGTGGGAAATTCCCAATATTATTTCGTTTATTTCGAATCTCGGAAGGAATGGGAAAGTGAAAATGTTGTTCGAAAAACAATACTTTTTAAACCCAAATACAGTTTATTTAGTACGCCTTATAAATTACAGTGAAATTCTGCGATATTTATAGAGTAATGTTACGTCTCTGG